GGTTTAGGGTTTAGGGGTTTAGAGGGCTTAGGGTTTAGGGTCTAGGGTGAGGCTTCGGGTTCAAGGCTTAGGGCTCAGTAGCTCGGGTGTCGGGTTCAAAAGTTCGGGTTTGAGGGTTTCATTGCATCGGCAGAGGGCTCGGGCGCTCGATTTCGCAGCGTGCTACTTGGGTACTTGGGTGAATCCCCAGCTCCAGACTTTTGAGCCAGCCGAAGCTTTCAGAAAGGGGAAAAATGTTTGATTTAGGGCTTCGGGTTCGGGATTTAGGGTTTAGGGTTTAGGGATTAGGGGTTTAGGATTTAGGGTAGGAGGGTTCAGGGGGTTGGTTGGAAGAACTGAGGCAACACGATGCATCTGAGGACCCATCCCAATCCATCTGCAGATTCTTCGTGGAGTGTCGTATCAATCGAGCCCGTTGGTCTAAAATCGAAATCATCCTAACCGCCTTGGCATTGAGCATCTCACCCTGAAGCTTGATTCCCCAAAACGTGAACACATGAAACCCACGAGAAAGGGCCCTCAACACTGGAGCCACAGGCCGTAGGCACGGATGAAGGAAGAGCCCAAGTGCCCATTCTCATTCTACGGCACCTATATAGCAAAACTCTAATAAACCCTAAACCCTATAAACCTTGTTAAACAAAAACCTCAACCCTAAACCCTAAACCTTATAAAACCCTCTCTGACCTGTTTGATCGTATTGTTCGAAGCCTCTCCTCGAGACTTGCGAGAAGGAAGAGGCCCCGCTGCCACTGAGCAGCTTTCCTTGGGAATCGGCTTTTCGGGTTTCAGGGTTTAGGGCTTTTGGGTTTTGTTTAAGATTTTAGGGTTTGGGGGTGTAGGGTTTCAATCTCCCTAACCACCCTCTGCTATCGACTAAATGCCTTATGAAGGAGGTTTACAGGGCTTAACCTGTAGGCTTCGTCAAGCTTCTCAAACGAGCTGATGGCGGAGCTGAAAGAAACCACAGTGCCTTCCAGGGAAAGCGCCCTTAGCTCCACCAGCAAATGAAGAGCCCACTGCCACTCGCCGGCCTTTTCACAAGCACTGATAGCTGCGTTGAGCGTGATGATGTTTCCTGGGGGACGGTAACAGCGGAATCTAAACGCTAAACCCTAAACCCTGAACCCTGAAGCCCACAAAGCCTTAACCCCTTAAACCCTAAACCCTAAAACCTAAACCTAAACCCTGCGCAGATCCCAATCGCAACCCACACCACGGAATAGCTGCAATGTAGGGGCTTTAGTAATTAGAATAGGGCTTTTTTGGGGTTCCTTTAAAGGGTTCCTTAAAGGGTTCTATAAGGGCTACTGTAAGGGTTTAGGGTTTAGGGGCCTTAATAAGTAGAACAGGGTTTTGGGGTCGATTATACTATTGTTATTATCAGAAACCCCCAAAAAATGGTATAGGTAGTTGTTTAGGCCACTATATTACCGGCTGTACCCCCCAAACACTACCCATTCAAGGATATGCATGCATATCTTTCTGTACATACCTACCTACCTGCCTGCCTGCCTGCCTGCCTACCTGCCTACCTACATACATACATACACTCGCATACATAATTCAGAGACGAAGGTTTTTGGGGCTACAGGTAATAGCTTCTTAGATCATGGGACGGTATCCTTGGTCAGGAGCGGAACTAAAGTATCTTGGAATCCTTGGAACCTGCGCTGTATCGCACTTGGCCCTGAAATCCTACACTTTGAGGTTTCTATGCCCTCAAGACCCTCGGGTTTAGGGTTTAGGGTTTAGGGACCCTCAACCATTCCAAGCTGAATGCCAGTATAGAGTCTGTCCTAGCGAGGCCTGAATAATTAGCACTTGTATTCCTTCGGGCTTGCTGAAAGTATTCAGGCCTTCCTATACTCCCGGAGCAGTGAAACCATTCAGGCATCGGTCGCTTGGGGTCAAGGAGGCCCTGATCTTCTTCGCCTCAGCCCTAAGCCCGTCCTGGATGGTGAGAAAGGAGTGATGTGAGCACCTAGGGCCCAACAAATGCATAAACACAAGCATCCCGATTCGGGGTGAAAGGGCCACTATTATTAAATGGAGCTCGCCATAATCCTTTTGTCCCGGGTCAAAGGGCCACTGTTATTAAATGGAATTCGTCATATCCTTTGGTCCAAGTATGTTTCGGCGCCCTGGCACCTGCAGCGCGGCCTGCCATTCCCCGGCCTTCTCACAGGCACTCAGCACGGCCCCGTAGGTCACAACCTGGGCAGGAAGCAGGTTATAGGCTTGGCCGGCGTCTGAGGGATAAGGGTAGGGTTTGGAGATTTAGGGTTCAGGGGTTTAGGGTTTGGAGATTTAGGGTTCAGGTTACCCTGAAACCCTAAACCCTAAACCCTATTCCGGCCTGGGAGATGTGGCTGGTGGGTCGAAAGCTTGGAGCTTGAGGATCAGAAGCTAAGCTCCAGAGCTCCTTCCTCAAAATCCCCGTGTACACGAAGCCTAAAACCCTAATAACAAAATAAGCTTCAAATACACAAACCATTAAGTAAACAAGTAAATAAATACATAAGCAGAGAAATGTGTATATATATATATGTGTGCATATGTAAATGTGTGTATATATATATATATGCATGTATACTATATGTGCGTATATATACCTATACTATATGCGTGTATATATATATATACAGACGCACAATACATTACCCTGTTCACGTATGAAACCCAGAGCCCTAACCTGAATACCCAAAGCAGAAACCTTGAACCCTAAGCCCCAACACATTCACCCCCAAACCCAAACCCTTGCCCCTTGCCTGAACCGTAAAACAAAGATTTCTACGATCTCCTTTTATAGGTTCTTACAAAGGTTGGGTTGCTAAGGGGGTTCAAGCAAATCCCATGTCTGATCCTAAACCCTAGACCCCTAAACCTAAAACACTAAACCGCTAAAGCCCTAAACCCTTCAAACCTCCAAACCCCTAACCCCTCAACCCCTCAACCCTAAACCCCTAAACCCCTCAACCCCTAAACCCAAAACCCCTAACCCCTCAACCCTAAACCCTTAACCCC